CACTTCTTTTTTTTTCCAATCTTTATTATAAATTATGAAAAATTTTTAAAAATTGATACTATCAAAAATTAATTTAAAAAAAGAAAAAAAATTGACCGTTCAAATATTTTGCTTTTTCTTTTCTTCTCTTAAATAATTCCTTAATTTAAATTAAATTATTTGGTAAGAAAAAAAAAATGAATAGATTAGTAAATAGAAATAAAAGGAAGGGAAGTATTTAATTGTTAGTTTTTGTTTCGAATAGATAATAGTGACATATACTAATCTACTACTATCACTATTACTACTACTACTACTACTTACCATACTATCTTTATCCGATCGAACGAACTCTGATCGATCGGTCATTCATTTTAATTCTTCCAAACTAAACTATCATCGATCATTAATTTTCACACAGAGAAATATCGTAGTCTAAAATCATCTTCTTTCTCTTTTTTTTTCCCCTTTTATCGAAATTTTTGAAATCAAATTTGATCATTTGAAACAAAATAGCATTTAATTTCTTGAAAATTTTACTCTCAAACTTTTTCATCGTTAATTTTCTACATATTGATTTTTGTCTGACAAGTGGAGACAAAAAAAAAAAAATGAAAAAAAATTCACAAATTTTTCTTTTCCTTTTTTTCAACGATCATCAATTATTACAATCTTTTGCTTATCATTATTTAATACATATAATAAACTCAAATTATAGTAGTAACTAGTAGTAGAGTATTGCTAATATAATAATTAAAATAATTTTAGAAAAAGAGATGAAGCAGAAAGAAGGAAATGTAAAGTTTAAATTTTCTTTTACATTCTATTTGTTAGAATATCAAATGGAAAAAAGGATTTTTTCAAATAAAATTAATTAAATAAATAAACTATAAACTAAATAAAATAAACTAAATAAAATTAATTAATAAATTGGTAGTGATATTTTAAAGAATTATCATTGGAAAAATAGAAACAAAAAAAAAAAACATAAATAAAAACAGAGGTTAAAGTTCAAATTATAGTAAAAAATGGTTCACTTCTTTTTTCTTTTTTTTTTTTTTTTTTGAAATGGCTCACTTTTCTTTTCTTTCCTTTTTTCTCGTCCATTATCCATTGTATTTATAGAAACATTCAATAAAGCAAGATTTAAGAATTAGCATAAACTATTTCAACTTCCATTTTTCCTGCCTTCCACGTTTTCCTCCTATCCGTTGAAAACTCTGCCCCTAATATTATTATTATCATTATTATTATTATTATCATTATTATTGTTATTATTATTATATTATTGTTATTATTAATTATTACTATTGTTGTTGTTGTTGTTGTTTCATTGTTGTTGTCGTCGGTATTATTACTAAGTAATCCTGATAGTTCGTGTCATTTATTTATCTTTCACAAGTTAAATATTTTCTTCATTCTTTTCCTTTTGTTTTTTTTTTGTTTAATATACAAAAATTTTAAATCATCTCATCCCTAAATAGCTTCTATAATGTCATCATATTGTTATCAAAAGAAAAAAAAAGATCACTTATAGTTTATAAAATGTCACATATTGTTACCAAAAAAAAAAAATTAAAATTTTTTTTGAAATTTTAATTAGATCATATTTAACAAATTTCACGTCAATTATTCGTGCATAATATTTTGTTGCAAAACATGAAATATTAGAATGGGTTCATTTCATTTAAAAATAAAATAAAAATAAACACTTAGCATTATGTCACAGTTGTATATGAATCAGTAAAAAAAAAAGCACAAAACAAAAAAAGAAAAAAACGAAAGATAAGAGGAAGAGGCAAGAAAAAAAAGGAAATACGAAATTATCAAAAGTGAACCGAAATATGCAAATTAAATCAGATGGTGTAGGAAAAAATTAATTAACGGATGAGAATAACTGATTGAAATGAAATACGAAATTTTGGATTAAAAGGAAAACAGAAAAATTCAAAATAAGCATTCAAATAAACTAATAATCATTGATTAATTGGCTGAATGATTGATTGATTGCTTGACTGACTGATCTCGATTGATTTTGATTGATCGAAATATTCACAAACATGGTAAGATACTGTAGCAACTGTCTGGACCATATTAGTAGAGAGAGAAAATGCACGAAATAATTGGAGGGATTGGGAAGAATTGCGGAAAGAGAAGAAAAACAATAGAAAAAAAAGAAGTAATAAATAAATAAAAATAAGAAACGGAAAAGTAAACAGGATAATTGAAATCCTAAAGATTGATTTTATAGAATGAAAAATAAAAAAAATTGTAGGTTTTTTAAATTTTCGAAAATTTTCAAATTTATTTACATGAAACATGAAGACATTTACATAGATCAAAAATTTTTTGAGGTGATTTGATAAAGCGTATATCAAAAAAAAAAAAAAGAAAAATACATCCACATACACACACACACGCACACACATATATATAAATACAATACGCATACATATAAAGTGATAAAATATAATAGTGATAATAATAGTGATACCCATCAATCAATATAATCAGTATCATTCTTTCATCCCTTACCTAGATGATAGTTAAGAATCCCAGAATTATCCCCTTTCTTTGTTTCCTTCTCTTTTTTTCATTCTTTTTTTCATAATGAAAAAATAAAAATAAAAGTAAAATGATAGCTGATATCACAAACATTTAATTACCAGGAATACAGGAATCTGAAATCAAGAAAAAAAAAGTAATTAAGATAAAATAATTTTAATTATTGCATTTCTTTTCTTTTTTCTCTTCTCCAAATTTTCCATTTTGTTTTCTTTTTTTAAATTTATGCCAAATAATTTGTAAAAAAAATCGAAACATTCATTTAAATCATTTAAATTAATCATTTTTCAATAGATATCGAGGTAGATTAATACAGAAAGGAAGAAATTCTTAACATTGCTATTTTTCCACTTCCCGCTTTCTAATGGGTTTCCTCTGGAAATAAAATATTTTTCTTTTTTTATATAACAGCAGCAGAAAGACAAATTTTCGAGTTGAAGTGAAATTTCAACATCAACCTAAAATTATGTTAGAAACCATAAAACAATAGTGTAAATTTAAATTATTTGAAATGCTAATAAAGAGGATTTATGTCATAGAAAAGTGAAAGAAAGAAAGGAAGGAAAAAAAAAAAACCACATTGATGAATTAACGGAATGCTAAAAAAAGACGAAGTAATATACAATTGATAGGTTAAAAAAAAAAAATTTTAGGATTTTATTTTAAAAAATCGTAAAAAATGGAAAAATTGAACATGACAAATGAATAAATGAATGAATGAATGAATAAATGAATAAATGAAATGAATGAATGAATGAATGAATGAATGAATGTATAGGTAAATATGAATGGATGAATGCATATATAACTACAATTGATAATATCAATAGTAGTACTAGGCAAGAAGACCACAAATGTCATAATAATTTAAAATGTTTTTTTTTTTAAAAAAAAAACATAATAATAA